ATACTTGGGGCACTCTAGTGTATATATGGGGGGGGGGGGGACAATACTTGGGGCACTCATATGGGGGGGGGACAATACTTGGGGCACTCTAGTGTATATATGGGGGGGGGGGACAATACTTGGGGCACTCTAGTGTATATATGGGGGGGGGGACAATACTTGGGGCACTCTAGTGTATATATGGGGGGGGGGACAATACTTGGGGCACTCTAGTGTGGTATATATGGGGGGGGGGACAATACTTGGGGCACTCTAGTGTATATATGGGGGGGGGGACAATACTTGGGGCACTCTAGTGTATATATGGGGGGGGGACAATACTTGGGGCACTCTAGTGTATATATGGGGGGGGGACAATACTTGGGGGCACTCTAGTGTATATATGGGGGGGTGGGGGACAATACTTGGGGCACTCTAGTGTAGGTGTATAATATGGGGGGGGGGACAATACTTGGGGCACTCTAGTGTATATATGGGGGGGGGGGACAATACTTGGGGGCACTCTAGTGTATATATGGGGGGGGGGACAATACTTGGGGCACTCTAGTGTATATATGGGGGGGGGGACAATACTTGGGGCACTCTAGTGTATATATGGGGGGGGGGGACAATACTTGGGGCACTCTAGTGTATATATGGGGGGGGGGACAATACTTGGGGCACTCTAGTGTATATATGGGGGGGGGGGGGACAATACTTGGGGCACTCTAGTGTATATATGGGGGGGGGGACAATACTTGGGGCACTCTAGTGTATATATGGGGGGGGGGGACAATACTTGGGGCACTCTAGTGTATATATGGGGGGTGGGGGACAATACTTGGGGCACTCTATGGGACAATACCCCTTGGGGCACTCTAGTGTAATATATATATGGGGGGGGGACAATACTTGGGGCACTCTAGTGTATATATGGGGGGGGGGGACAATACTTGGGGCACTCTAGTGTATATACTGTATGGGGGGGACAATATGGAGGCAGACACTTGTAAAGATATATATGGGGGGGGGGGACAATACTTGGGGCACTCTAGTGTATATATGGGGGGGGGGGACAATACTTGGGGCACTCTAGTGTATATATGGGGGGGGGGACAATACTTGGGGCACTCTAGTGTATATATGGGGGGGGGGACAATACTTGGGGCACTCTAGTGTATATATGGGGGGGGGGGGGACAATACTTGGGGCACTCTAGTGTATATATGGGGGGGGGGGGGGACAATACTTGGGGCACTCTAGTGTATATATGGGGGGGGGCGGGGACAATACTTGGGGCACTCTAGTGTATATATGGGGGGGGGGGGACAATACTTGGGGCACTCTAGTGTATATATGGGGGGGGGACAATACTTGGGGCACTCTAGTGTATATATGGGGGGGGGGGACAATACTTGGGGCACTCTAGTGTATATATGGGGGGGGGACAATACTTGGGGCACTCTAGTGTATATATGGGGGGGGGACAATACTTGGGGCACTCTAGTGGTATATATGGGGGGGGGGGACAATACTTGGGGCACTCTAGTGCACGTCTTCCCGTAGAAGTGGCAGTTTGCTGTATTGCAGGTCCTGTCACTGTAAAGCCTTCGGCTGATTATCCGATGCTGACTCACGTTTTGTGTCCATCCAGCCGAAGCGTCGGATCTGAAAGCCTGTTATGTCAAACGTAATTACGTGTCATTATTCGGGATCTCTAATCCTGTGCCGGAGACCCCCAGCGAGGGATTAGCCGCCTTTCACAAACATACAATTAATGTGCAGCGCGGTGTGAACACGCCACAACCACACCACCGCCCCGGGCGACGCACACGGGACACACGCCAACAAAGGTGCAAGAAGGGAAAACTCAGATGAAATGATTACAAGTTATAAATGATCTGATTAACCGTTTCACAAGCTCAGCGTTGGCCGCGGTGTAAATCTATCGCCGGTTCTGAGCGATCGCTGACATCTGACCGATGGTGGGAGCGTCACTACCTAAAGTACGCCCGTGGTAATGACAACCCCAAGTTACACCCATTCACCAAAATCTCATAGGAACCTAAAAGTGGAGTGGAACCTGCTGCCCCTCCCCCCCATGTAACACATATGTGCGTTGGCTTTAATGCTCACGTGCTGCGCATGTGCGCTGCTGTGCGCCTGATGTCTCGCGCTTACTGTTCGCTCCCAGCACAGAGATCGAGCTGTCAAAGATAGCTCTTGATCCTTCTAATGATTGGTAGCCAGCAGGACTGGCACCCTATCATGTGACTATTGTGAGAGCCAATCACAGTGATCACATGGTCACCACCTGAGCCTTCTTGCCACAGGTGGGACAAGGAGCAACAGAGCAAATCAGAACCAGGGATGCCAGGGCAGGTGGGACAAGGTCAGAGCATTCAGAACCAGGGATGCCAGGGCAGGTCGGACAAGGTCAGAGCATTCAGAACCAGGGATGCCAGGCCAGGTGGGACAAGGTCAGAGCATTCAGAACCAGGGATGCCAGGGCAGGTGGGACAAGGTCAGAGCATTCAGAACCAGGGATGCCAGGGCAGGTGGGACAAGGTCAGAGCATTCAGAACCAGGGATTCCAGGGCAGGTGGGACAAGCTCAGAGCATTCAGGACCAGGGATGCCAGGGCAGGTGGGACAAGGTCAGAGCATTCAGAACCAGGGATGCCAAGGCAGGTGGGACAAGGTCAGAGCATTCAGAACCAGGGATGCCAGGGCAGGTGGGACAAGGTCAGAGCATTCAGAACCAGGGATGCCAGGGCAGGTGGGACAAGGTCAGAGCATTCAGAACCAGAGATGCCAAGGCAGGTGGGACAAGGTCAGAGCATTCAGAACCAGGGATTCCAGGCCAGGTGGGACAAGGTCAGAGCATTCAGAACCAGGGATTCCAGGCCAGGTGGGACAAGGTCAGAGCATTCAGAACCAGGGATTCCAGGACAGGTGGGATAAGGTCAGAGCATTCAGAACCAGGGATTCCAGGGCAGGTGGGACAAGGTCAGAGCATTCAGAACCAGGGATGCCAAGGCAGGTGGGACAAGGTCAGAGCATTCAGAACCAGGGATTCCAGGCCAGGTGGGACAAGGTCAGAGCATTCAGAACCAGGGATGCCAGGGCAGGTGGGACAAGGTCAGAGCATTCAGAACCAGGGATGCCAGGGCAGGTGGGACAAGGTCAGAGCATTCAGAACCAGAGATGCCAAGGCAGGTGGGACAAGGTCAGAGCATTCAGAACCAGGGATTCCAGGCCAGGTGGGACAAGGTCAGAGCATTCAGAACCAGGGATTCCAGGCCAGGTGGGACAAGGTCAGAGCATTCAGAACCAGGGATTCCAGGACAGGTGGGATAAGGTCAGAGCATTCAGAACCAGGGATGCCAGGGCAGGTGGGACAAGGTCAACGTTTGCTCCAATCTAATCATTCCCCTCCACTTTTTTACTAAAAATGACCTTTCTATAACTTTTTAGACTTTTTTTGTATCTGGCCCCACCCTCTGCCGCCAAGGCGTTTCATTCTTTTCCTGCTGCCTCTTGGGATGCCGATGTCAGATATCCCACGGGGCATTCCTTCCATTCATGTAAACCAGGGGTCTCTAAAGTACGACCCCTTGGGTCAAATTTGGCCCACAGTATCTATCCATGAAAAATACCTTGGCTGGTTGGCAATGGAGGAGCTGGTCTGTGTATGGAGACTGGAACATCCACTGCAAGCCAGCCATGGCCATCCTCCATTCCCCAGGGCTAGTCCCTTCCCTCTGTTGTGGTTGGCTACTGATGGCTGGTGTCTTGGCAACCAGTGATGTGACTGGCCCATCAGTTTTTAGGAGACCCAGATTTCCTCCATTAAGACCTGTTCCACCTATTGGCTCTTTGCTCTGCTGCTCTGCCACCTGAAATGTAAAGGGGACCCTACTAGGTACACATGGATGCAAGGTGGGGGGAGGGGGCTAGGCTCTGCTGGGTACTCCAGATGGCCAGGGGGAAAAGACTACTGGACACACCTGGATACAAGAGGGGAGGCTCTGCTGGACACACCTGGATACAAGGGGGAGACTCTGCTGGACACACCTGGATACAAGGGGGAGACTCTGCTGGACACACCTGGATACATGGGGGAGACTTTGTTGGGCACACCTGGATACATGGGGGAGAGTCTGCTGGGCACACCTGGATACAAGAGGGGAGGCTCTGCTGGACACACCTGGATACAAGGGGGAGACTCTGCTGGACACACCTGGATACATGGGGGAGACTTTGTTGGGCACACCTGGATACATGGGGGAGAGTCTGCTGGGCACACCTGGATACAAGAGGGGAGGCTCTGCTGGACACACCTGGATACAAGGGGGAGACTCTGCTGGACACACCTGGATACAAGGGGGAGACTCTGCTGGACACACCTGGATACATGGGGGAGACTTTGTTGGGCACACCTGGATACATGGGGGAGACTCTGCTGGACACACCTGGATACAAGGGGGAGACTCTGCTGGGCACACCTGGATACAAGGGGGAGAGTCTGCTGGGCACACCTGGATACAAGGGGGAGACTCTGCTGGGCACACCTGGATACAAGGGGGAGACTCTGCTGGGCACACCTGGATACATGGGGGAGAGTCTGCTGGGCACACCTGGATACAAGGGGGAGACTCTGCTGGGCACACCTGGATACATGGGGGAGAGTCTGCTGGGCACACCTGGATACAAGGGGGAGACTCTGCTGGGCACACCTGGATACATGGGGGAGACTCTGCTAGACACACCTGGATACAGGGGGGGAGATTTCTTGTCAGCAACAAAAGGACAGACACTCAATGGGGAAATGACAGGGAGGGTGATGTGTGCGCAAACCAGGGACGATTCCAGGCACGGGGGGTCTTCAGCCACAGGCAGGCAGTCTCCCCCATAGGCTTGGGGCCTCAGCCGAGCTCCCTCCGTAACTGGACAGCGAATTGGAGACTCGGGCAACAGGCGGCAACCTACCACTGGGCAGGGGCCTCGGGCAACAGGTGC